TAGCTTTAAGAAGAGGTATGATAAGGCTCATGGAGCAGGAAGAGTGACCAGTGAAGAGGCGGGGCTAGGAGCTGTGATTCGACCCCTGTAACCACAACTAGGTGAGTGTACACACACACTCACACATATGCTGACTATTCGCGTCCCCCAGATGCTGACTATTTGCGTTCCCAAGATGCTGAAAGCTCTCGATCCTAAGATGCTGACTTCCTTTGTTTTCACGCCACCGACTGCAAACGCGAACACAATGTAGCCAGAACAAAAAAATGAAATGAAAGGAAATCCCTTTTTTTTTTTTTTGCAGGAATATAAGAAAAAAAAAACAGTATTTTAGCAGCATTCTTATTGATGTGGAAAGATTCTTTGAACGTGAAAAAATAACGTAGGTAATTTACCTTCTGTTTTTGTTATTCCTCAGACGTTGGAAAATTATTAATAGTGAAATAAAAAAAAAAGTAAATTAATTTATTAGAGAATAAACCTGAGTTTTAAAGAATAAAAAGGAAGAACACCGTGACTGGAACAATACACAGTAACCTACACAAACAAGAATGAAACTTATGACGATGTTTCGGTCCAACTAGAGCCATTAGCTGGTCATATAGTCACACATTGTGACCAGTTGTAATATTGTTGGAAGAATTACCGACAATATGTAAAGTAAAAGGACACAAGTGCAACTAATGTGACATTTTATCGTGGCAACGTTTCGCTCCTCGAGAGCGAAACGTTGCCACGATAAAATGTCACATTAGTTGCACTTGTGTCCTTTTACTTTACATTGTGACCAGTTAATGGTCCAAGTCGGACCGAAACTTCCTCATAAGTTTGTCTCTTATGTGCAGGTTATTTGTGTCAATTTATTAAACTAATAGTATACCAAAGCGATAAGAAGATTAATAAGAGAAATGTGCAAGAAACGTTATGCCAACAAGTTGGTTTATTATTACTGGAGTACAAAGAATAAATACTGGAGCCGTGTTTCAGCTTCACAGTATTTATTCTCTCTGTTGGACTGATAAAGTCTACAATAAATATACTTAAGCGTTGCTCATGTGTCTTGTTCGTAAAACTAAAGTTTATTAAAGTTTGTTTAGCAAAGTTTAGTGTTGAGAACATGAAGCGTTCGTAAATATTTAGATGACATGACCTAAGTTAGATGCAGGAAGAAGAAACCTTTCATCGTTCTAGTGAGATACAAAAATTTAGTTGTGGAGTCATAGCAGACTCTAAGATTTTGTACTAATACATACAATTTTTATGTTATTGGAATTAGCGAGCTTCTAACCTGCTGTTGTGGTCCTAAGCCTGGAAGTCCAACACTCGGATCGCCAGCAACAGAATATATAGAAGATCTCAACCAGGAAATTCTTTTACTTGGATAAGAGAGGTTAGTACTAGCCACAACTGCGACTCTCCATACAAAAGATTTTCATGGGCAAGGGATCCGTTATGACCTGTGGAGGTGATCATAAAAATGGATTTGCGGTCTTAGAACCACAGAACCAAGGGTTAAAAACTGTTATTTCACTTAATTGTTATATTCTTTTAATACGATATTCCTGCCCATTTCTATATGTAAGTGGGCTAGATCAGGGAAGTAGGGAGGGTGGGGGATGACTACCATGTTGTTTTTGACCAGAAAACGTTGGTCTTTCTGGTCTTGAGCAGAAAGTGGGGCACGAATTTTTCAGCCACTCGCACTGTATTCATATTTTTAGTCGAACAGCTTTGACACAACACAAATTCCCAAAACACTTACAGTGTCCTGGATACTCTGACGATGATCTTCGTGAATAGCCTTACTCACTTTTTCAATGTTGATGTGTGTTTTTGATGTTGATAGACGACCAGTGCGTTCATCATCCTCAACTGATGTTCTTCCTGCTTTAAATCGAGAAAACCATTCAAAATACTGTATCCAACCCATTGCTTCATCGTCAAATGTTGCTGAAGAATTTTGAGTGTCTCAATAGCCATTTTACCAAGCTTGACACACACACTGATTCACGAAATCGTAATGACACGATTGCAAACAATCGTGTCATTACGATTTCGTGAGTCATGTTGACGGCTTTGAGGGGACTTGAGCTAGAGTTCGTCACGGTCACGCTAGCTGGAGATTCGTCTGTAAAAACTTGCATTTGTGGTCACAGTGGTGCCTATGCTAACCTTCCTATGGTGTAGAAATATACGTAGTTGGACGAATCTTATTGTGGCTAGCTGATCCAGTGGCTAACGCGACGGTCTGGAGTTTTGAGACTCTCTGATCCCGGGTTCTGTCCCCGCCCGTGGTATGGTTTGAAACACACACACACACACACACACACACACACACACACACACACACACACACAGTGAGACCTTCACATTAGCCTCACAGTCCGACTGTTCACGATTGGCTGTGTTTATTAACACATATTTGGTATACATTTGAATGTGTGCGTCTGTACTGTAGATGTAGTGTCGATACTATAGATTAAGTGTCGGTTCTCTTGATCCATTGATGGTTCTCTTGAGCCAGTGACGGTTCTCTTGATTTAGTGGCTGTTCTTTTTATCTAGACAGGATCTAAATAATTTAAGTTGTATATATACAGTTACACCTAAAATTCCACTGGTACGAAGTGGCAGTGTTCTATTGACATTTGAAAGGAGTGATCGGCTTGTGCTTCAAAGTAGAGAGTTTTGCTGGCATTTCAAAGCAGAGGTGTTCCACTGGTGCTTCGAAGTTGAGATGCGCCATCGCGGCTTCAAAGGAAAGATCTACTGGTGCTTCAAGGTAGAGGCGTTCAACCGGTTCTTTGAAGTAGAGGTGTTCCACTGGTTCTTTAAAGTAGAGGTTTTCCACCGGTGCTTTGGAGTAGAGGTTGTTCTGTTTGTGGTCTACTGGCACTTTGATTTTTTCATGTATGTTTATTTTTCATCTAGTTTTTACGTGCAGAATTCAGCTGCAATTCATTTTTTTGTACTGTTGCAGTCGCTGCGTTGCTCAAAAAATATTCCATTCAATTTGTGTCTAACGGGCCAATAATTGCACTCGCCTTTAGTGCTGCCATCCTGCAAATATTGCGTGATGCAAATTTCAGTTAACTAACAAAATAACTTACTGATAATGATGAGAATTCCTTTGAAACATAATATACATTTTTTTTTTAATCTTTTGACTCTCATAATTAGGTGTCTGTCGGCCCTCTTGCCTTCCTCTTCATAATCAACCTCCTCTTTCCCCATTTTGTTTTCGTTGTAATTCACCTCTCTTTCCCTTTTCTCCCTCTCCCTAATCCTGCACAAGGATGTGAAATTTTGTTGGTTCTCTTGCCATGTTAATATCCGGGAAAGGAAAGGGCGGATGCTTAGGTGAAGGTTGCTATTATAAGCTTGCTACAACTGATGCTTCGTTGTGACTGAATGGGTCACATTAATGTTTTAGGGAAGTGGCGGGTTGGTGAAGCCAATAGATGAGCTCGATGTATACAGGTTTCGAGAGGAAATAAGTGTTTGGCTCTCCTTTTTATATAGTAATTGGCTTTCAGACTACTTATTCTCGACTGAGGATTGATCTTGCACACCTTTCCGATAGCAAGCTGTTTGCAGGCTCTGCCTGGAGTTTACCTGGAGTGTTCCTAGGGTCAAGGCCTCCGCGGCCCGGTCCGTGACCATGGTTTGCGGCCTGCAGCTGTCTGTGGAGCACATTGTAACTGCTTGACCATGCTTTGAGCCCCTTTTTTTAATTTCTGATGTGCTTTAGGGACTTAGGTAGGGACTTAGGAGAACCTCCAGGATATTGTTTTGCCATGTCAGTTTAACGGAATTTTTAACTGTTTGCAGGTTATTTTTATCATAGTTTGTTAATATATATTTGTGTTGCATGTTTTATTCATGCTTTTTATTTTAATTTTGTTTTCCCAAGAATGATCTACGAGATCGGACTCAATACATTTATTTAAAAGTAAAAATAACAGCAATAACTAAACAAGATCAAAAAAGCGTTGCCGAGAGCAGGAAATCATTGCGGTCAAGCTGGAATTGATTTACTTCGTCATTGTTCCTTAGAAAACTTGTGCCTTGGTTCATGACTTGGTTGACAGATCGATCTGATTTCTCTTGCATGCAGCTAGCATTCAAAGGCGGGGAACCAGGAGCTGTGCATCTGCCTCTGTAAATAAAAGTAGGCGAATGCAACTAGATAACTACACAGAATCGTCTGTGTATACGAGTCTGAAGGCGTTAAATTCCTTCAAGGGCTCTTGATCAGAGTAATTAGTGCTTTTTACCTTCCTCGGCTCAAACTCGATTACCTTCCATGCTCTAGGCACTCTATGACTCTCACGGGCGGAGAACTTCACTATACATGTAAGTTTACTAAATGCCTCGGATTCCTTCAGGGAGGTTCCTTGATGCTGGTGAAGGACTCTCCATCTAATGAATGAGATTTGTTTTCCAGTTTCTTTTGATCGAACCTGACTGCGTCTCATTCCCAGGCGCTATATGACCCCTTCGGCTTTTAGCGCTTCCCTAAATATGCTAACTACTACTACTACTACTAGAATTACTACTTCTAATGCAAGTACTACTGCTACTACAACTACAAGTACCACTGCTAAAACAAGTACTGTTGCTACTCGAAGAACTACCGCTATTACTACCACTACTATCACACCCACTAGTGCTTTTTACTATTACCACAACTATTTTTACTACATCTACTATTACAACTACTGCTATTACTATAACACTATTACTACAACTATTGCTACTACTACAACTACTTCTGTTATTGCAACTACTGCTATTACTATACTATTACTATAATTACAGCTATTACTACAATTATTACAACTATTAATATTACTACTATTACTACAACTATTACTGCAACTACTACTACTAGTATCCCCACTACTATTGCTACAGCTAGTATTACTGCAACTATACTACTACGAATGCTATCACGACTGCTACTACTACGACTACTAATAATCTCGTTTTCTCCCACAGTGGCGCCGACCTCGGTGGAGCTCGTGGGCCGAAGAAAAGACGACGTCATCGAAGTGAGTGAAGGAGAGGAAGTCACCCTTGAGTGCAAGGTGGAAGACGCCAAGCCAGTCGCTGAAGTCAAGTGGTACAAGAATGACCAGGAGTTACACTTAGGTGAGTGGTGGTGTAGGTTCTCAGACACGAGATGTAGTGAGTGCTGGTAGTCATTCAGGTGGTGTAGATGAGTGCTGGTATTAAGAAAATGTAGGATGCCACACACGAGGTAGAGGTGAGTGATGGTTATCATTCAGGTGGTGTAGGTTGTCTGACACAATGTGTAGGTGAGTGTTGGTGATGATTCAGACAGTGTAAGAGGCAGAGACGAGGTGAAGTACAGGTGTAGGCGAGTGCTGGTGAAACAAACCATACCACGGGCGGGGATAAAACCCACGATCAGAGTGTCCTAAAACTCCAGACCGACACTGGTGACTATTTCGTTGGTGTTTACCTGGAGTTTACCTGGAGAGAGTTCCGGGGGTCAACGCCCCCGCGGCCCGGTCTGTGAATGCTGGTGATCATTTCGTTGGTGTAGGTGAGTGCTGGTGATCATTTCGCTGATGTAGGTGAGTGCTGGTGATCATTTCGTTGGTGTGACAGCTGGTGACCATTGCGTTGGTGTATGTGAGTGTTGGTGACCATTTCGTTGGCGTAGGTGAGCCCTGGGGACCGTTTCGTTGGTGTAGGTGAGTACAGCTAAGTTTACTAGCACTGTATGCCCCATATAGCTGTCTTGCGAATACAACAACAGGAGGATGTATTACTGTTTCTTCAAACTGAGCCAGATGTGTCTGGGTGAGTCAAGAGTTTATTTGGGTAGGCGAGACTCGTGTTATTAAGCGAGATAACTTATGTACGTGTAGTGTAACACAGGGAGGCGACTCAGTGGGATTACTGATGAGTCATATGCAATATTAATGTATTATATACCGACAAGACTACTAATAAGACAATATGCGATTTATGACATTTTATTGATTAGACGTTTCGTCCACCGGGGACTTCATCATTTCTCAAAAATTCGAAAACCGAATTCTCAAGATTATCAAGAATTGTAGGCCCTGGTGGACGAAAAAATCTTTCCAATAAAATACCATAAGCTTCATATGGTATTTTATATAACGAAACTTGAAATGCTTTAGATGTCTCGGGTTCCCAGTACGTAAGTCATCGGGGTAATTTTCAAAGAGTCTTTTATTGCCAGCGATTTAATAGTCTTAATTTGTGGCCGTTTTATATGGCCTGATATGGTTGGGATACTTACAGGGCGGACCAAAAACTTCGGGACTTTTGGGCCCTTACAAGCGAGTATCGATATTCTCTAGAATATTTGTTCAACACGTCTACAGGAGAGGCAGATAAATTATATACCTCTTTAATACACTGAATGCAACATATTTTAACTTAGTGCACACGGTATTTTTCGTAGTGTATATTAAAACTTCTTTTTCTTGCTCTCATGTTTTTGGCACTCGTTATGTCAGGAACGGGCAGCTTTTTGGGTGGCCAGTCCCTGGCCAGCGAAATTGTGACCAGTTACAGGGTTTTTTATCCCTCTTAGCCCGCCATTAGAGCTGGCATCTCTATTCGCCACCTGGGTAACCTAGCTGTTGATGGTGTAAAACCTTTTTTTTTATTGTCAAGGTGCTAAGGGAGTTTATAGTACTGAGGACGTTTCGCTCAACGCAGAGCAGAGAGTTGCCATACCATACATGTCGGCACCATTTGCCGGTTCAACCAGTCCAAAGCACTCTGTACATGCTTCAACTTCCTTCATTCAAGGTGAGTCTGCTTGATATCTCGCCTGATCAGATTCATTTAAAAAAATGTTGTGGATCATTTTTTTCTTAAAGTAGACAATATCACAACTTGGAAAGGTAAATTTGGTGATGAGGTTTTTCCGGAATTACCAACAGATTCCTTGCTGTCATCCAGAGGAACCTTGGTAAGTTCATCACGTTCCTTAACAGCTAGACCACGGTGCCTATTATGGTCTGTGCGAGGTTAAAACCAACAGCCTGGTTGATCAAGCAGTAGTGTCAGCGGTAGCAGAGTCATTACGGTGTCATCAGAATCTGTACTAGCTCTTGCTGTCAACAGCATAAACAAAAGCATCTCAGTATGAAATCAGCAGACAGCGAGAAAATTCTTATTCGACGAAGTGTCGGTACTAACAACTGTAGCCTCCGTAGTAGTAGCAGCGATAACTACCAGTAGTAGCAGCAGTAGTAATAGTATTATTAAAAGCAGCAGCAGTAATAAAGTAGTAGCAGTATAACTAGCAATTGTAACTGGATCATCATCATCATGCCCTCCCCCCCCCCCCACACACCTTGCTGCTGTTTTCCGCAACAGAAGTTCCAACCTCCTCCCAAACAACCTTCCTAACTCAACATCACCGTTACAGCATTACACGGTACATAGTTAACTCGCTGGCCGTAAAAGGAGAAGCATAATTACCTTCTTGCAGGGGTCATGTGTCGGTGGGACTGGCACACTCGCGTGACTCCCCAAACTGGCTACTGTGAAACCTTTCGGACCTGTAACCCTTTATTAAAGCATCGCATTGGATCTGAAACACTTTGGCAAGGGTCAGCCATTTGAAAAACACTCGTTGGCTCTGAATTCCTTTGACAAGGCGTTCCTTGAACCTGAAACCCTTTAACAAGGTATCCCTTGACCCTGAATTCCTCTGGCAAAGCACCTCATGAGTGACATTCTTGGCTTGATACTCTGGGTATTACACCGTCTCATTATGATTCAACCCTGGGTTTTGTTTCACCAGAACTATCCCCAGCATTTACAAATGCAGTAATTCAGCACCAGGGCAATATAATCTCCACCATTAGCCACAAAAACTATGTAAACAATACTACCCATATCCTTACAATTAAAATGCTAGATTTCGTTAAAAGAAACACAGTACTTCACACACGTCCTCAAAAACGATGCTACACTTAACCTTAAACTCTGTATGCATGCCATTATACACAATACTACCCATGTCCTTAGAAACACAATACTACACTTTTTCATGCACAATACTACACATGACTTCATACAAAATATTACACATGCCTTCATATACAATGCTACACCTGCCTTCATACACAATATTACTAAAAATGCTTTCGAGAAGCACACTATTACATTTCACCTGTTCTTCACTTTCTGTCGCTTCTCACCCCTCTTCATAGTTTTTTTTTCACTTTACAGTACTCTATTCTTCTCCCACTTTCTCGACTCTTCAGACCGGAATATCGCTAAATTGGCTAACACCCTTTTTTCTTTTTCAAGACTATCGATATCGCGGATCAGGAGAATGTACAGAAAATCTATCAAAGCCCGAATAAATTCAGTCAAGAACTCTTAATTATTGGAAACACCAGAATTACCTCTTACCTTTGAAGAGTTTCGAGAGTTTCACTACTCTCGGAGCCCGGCCATGGAAGTAGTGATAAAGATTTTTCTTTGTCATACATCTGAAGAATTCTCTTGATCTAGTGACGGTTCTCTTGATCTAGTGACGGTTCTCTTGATCTAGTGACGGTTCTCTTGATCTAGTGGCGGTTCTCTTATCTAGAGAGGATCGAAATAATTTAGGTTGTGTAGATAAAACCAATCTCTACTCTCGCAACCCGGGAGTAGAGACTGGTCCCAAATCTGTATACTGAAATCACTCCCTCCGAAAGCAAGAGGCTGTGCAGACGATACAAAATACTCCAAATGAAAAGGGGATGGATGCAGTGAGTACACATACTGAGATAACTCATTTCTACTTTTGTTTACCTTTGATGAGTTTCAAGAGTTTTTCTGCTCCCGGAGCCCGGTAATGGGCAAGGCTCATCTGGTGCTTGCCTGCTCAACCAGGCTATTGCTCCTGGTGGCCCTGTGACCCACATATCCACCACCACAGGCCTTTCAACACCATCTCTTCATACATAAGAGGAATTATTCAGAGACAACTAGCTGCCATCAAGAAGGATTTGATACAATCCTCCAGTCATTTGCTGAGCAGACCGTCAACCGGAAGGCCTGGTCGGGACCGGGTCATTATGGCCTGGTCTGGAGCGGGTCACTATGGTCTGGTCTGGACTAGGCTGCTATGGCATAGTCTGGACCGGGTCGCTGAGGCCTATGACGCTCGGAATTGTAAACTGTTACCGTCAAGTAAATGCCTCTCGCTACACCACACACACACACACACACACACACACACACACACACACACACACACACACACACACACACACACACACACACACACTACTACTACATCCCTTTTATTCCCTCCCTTCAAGGGGAGTGACTTTATTCCTGAAACAGAAGTGCCCTATGCTTCTTCGGATCAAACTTGATCACCTTCTGTTCCCATGATCCTGACGGGTTTAGCACTTCCAAACGAAAGCACACAGGGTCTGCTTCTCAGCGAAGACACAGCAGGCAGCTACTACATGAGCACTCAGGCAGTTGCTGTGTGTGCACTCACAGACAGGTGCTGTGTATACAAGCTGGTGTGCACATGCTGGAGCTGTGAACGAAACTGAACACTTTTATTGGATATCATGGTAAGGTAAGTCATGGCCGACTCCAAAGAGCGTTCTCCATATGAAAACAATTTTGAAAACACACACGCACATATACGTGTTTGAATTTGATTTCCTGGGCGTAATCAAAAGGCCTCTGGCGTACTCGCGCGCGCGCGCGCGTATTCACCCGGTTGTACTCACCTAGTTGTGGTAGCAAGGGTCGAGTCATAGCTCCAGCCCCCCCCTCCCCCGCCTCTTCACTGGCCGCTACTCGGTCGTTCTTCTTAAAGATGTGTATGAATCCTGCCTCCACTACATCACTACCCAGACTTTTCCACTTCCTGACAACTCTGTGACTTAAGAAATACTTCCTATCATCCCTGTGGTTCATCTGAGTCTTCAGCTTCCCAAGAATGACCCCTTGTTGCTGTGTCCTATCTTTGGAGCATCCTGTCTCTGTCCATCTTGTCAATTCCTCTCAGTAATTTATACGTCGTTATCATGTCCACCATATCCCTTCTTTCCTCCAGTGTCGTCAGTTTGAGTTCCTTTTAGCTCCGGGACTAATCTTTTTGTAAACTTTTGCAC